TGAACATTTAACTAAAACCCAACGTTTTATTCAGTGGATTTATTTCATGGTCCTTCGACTGCTTCGACACTAGCAAATCGATACAAACAGCTATTCGGTCCGGACAGTGATACCGAAGAGATCGAACGTTACGTGGAGAGAAAGATAGCAGAAGAAATCGACAGAGAATTGAGCGAAGACAGTGGTAACAGCGCAAGCGACAGCGAAGAAAGTGGTAACAGCACAAGCGATAGCGAAAACGACGAATGTGTTTGGAAAAAGAGAAAAAAAAGCGAAGAAGAAGTGTTAGAAATCACGATTGAAAACGATTTTATATTGCCGAAATCACCGAAACAAACCAGTCAATTGAATGAGTCGTTCTTGCAATATCAGCTAGCACTCTCACCAATCAAATTCACACCAAAACGACCAGAATTGCAACAAATTCAATCATTTTTGCAATTCCCATTGTTGCTTTCACCAATTTGCAACACACCGAAGCGTTTCAGGTCAGTGACACCAACAAACACAGGCCAACAACGTTTTGCCACGTCACCGAAAGAAGCGGACGAAACGCACACACAAAAACATCGTCACGCGAACAAAGAAAGAGAGAAAGAAGAAAACACTGACGTCAGCGAAACGCACACAAATCAACCGATTTGCACAAGTTTGAGTGACCGCGCACTCGCAAAAAAATCACACGCACACGCACGCAAACGCAAATTCTCGTCCACTCTCTCGTGCTCATCATCACACGAATCCATTCGCTCAGCATCACAAAAAACAAAACTCTCTCGCTCTCTCATCCACTCACCACACCAACCCATTCGAAAAACGTTCACAGCCGCAAAAACAAAACGATTCACGCACACTCTCTCGTTCGCACGAACACATTAATCCGTTCGCCTCTCAGCGCCGCGCGCACACAGCCAAAACAGAACGCACAAACATAAACGTTCAATCATCGACTGAGCCACTATCTCGCACACATCAACGCATCGATCCACTCACCAAGACAACAGCAACCGCAACCGCACCAACACTAACACAACACAAATTCAGCAACTTGCGCGTGGAAATCACCAACGAACATTGCACAAACACAACTTCAACAGACGAAGTTGATAACGTCACGCAACCAGAGCTACGTACACTGGAATTGCGCTCAAAGGTCGTTCCAGACGGCATGTTCATTGCAGTTGCGGTGGAAAACTCAAAACGCTATTCAAAGAATGCATTAAAGAGGATTACCCGCAATCTGTTATCACAAATGTAATCCCTTTTACTCTCTCCTTTGCACAAATATGAAATCATTGTAAATTCTTTCCTCATTTCATTTCTCATGCATTGTATTCATTTAATTCACTTTTTACACGCATTATAAACGTAACGCATCGCATCGCATAGCACGAATTGAATTGATTTGAATGATTTAAATTAGCATTGTAGAGGACAAATGAATGAAGGCATTGAAAAAGGAAATTATCGCATATTTAGCATCGCAATGAATTTTGAATGAGTTTGAATCGCATTTTTTTCATCTCATTTTTATCGCAACACAGAGTTTGCATCGCATATTAGCATAGATTTTCGCACTTAATTAGCACTCGATTTAAAAGTCATCGCAGATCGCATATACACAGCATCCACTAGCATTACATTCATTTATCACGTTCAAATTGCATACATTTTGGCGTAAAACAAAAACCGCATGAATTTCATAGAATGAAATTATGTTAGCAAGTAAATTGAGAGTATCTTGTAGCACTTTTTCGCATTATTAGCAAACAAATCGCAAAACCATCGCATCACTTTTGTTCCACGAGCAAAATCGCAATAAATTAGCAATTTAGCACTTCAAAATCATCGCATTTTTTGGCTTCATTCATTTCACTCTTTACAGCAATTTGGGCAACTCGCATCACTTTTTAGCATCAAAACCATCGCATCGCATGAAAATTCTTGACCGAACACCAACGCATAAGATTGATTTAACTAACTAAACTGCATATCGCTTGAAAACTTGAATTTTCTTTCACGAATTGGCAAAAGGTAACATTCCTTTAACGCCCGAAAATGACTGATCTAACAAAACCATATGAAAAACTATTGCAAAAACGCGACAATCTTGTCCGTGCCATCTTGACTCATGAAACGAAAATAAAAGGCGGTGTCACCCCCACGGCAGCCGCTACACGGTTAACTCAACTGGATAGTTCATTCGAAAAATACAAAGAATTATGGGAAAAACTGGAAGAAGAAGATGAATTTGACTTGAATCATTTTGAGGTAGACAATGAGGTGATAACAGAAGCGTACATAAATACTGTTTCAATGATAAAATCAATAATCAAAGATCACTCGCAAAATGAAATAATGTCATTGAGTTCAACGTTAGCCGGCCGCGGTAATCATAGCGTCCCAGAAATAAAATTACCCACAATTTCCATTCCGAAATTCGATGGCAAAGATTTGGAATGGACCACATTCTACGACACTTTCTCTTCTTTAGTCGATCAAAACCCGAATATACCAAAAATAAGCAAAATGCATTACTTGCGCGATAGTCTAAAGGGGGAAGCGTTTCAAGCAATTTGCAAACTCCCAGCTTCTGAGGCAAATTATGACATCGCATGGAAAATGCTGTTAGAACAGTACCATAATACGCGTGCAATTGTGAACGATTGCTTGAAATCATTCGTTTTTCAAGAGCAAATTCAACATCGTAATGCGAGCAGCATTCGTAAATTGATCGACACAACGAAAACATCTTTACAATGCATTGAATCACTCGACGTGAGCATTGAGGAGTGGGATCCGTTTATCGTGTACATCTTGCAAACTAAGTTAGATAAAGAAACAGCAATTGATTGGGAAAAGAAATTGGGAGGTTCGAAAGAAATTCCAACATATGTTACTATGCTTGATTTCCTTGAAACGCAACATCGAATAATGAAAACGCCGGCAGGATTGCCTTGTAGCTCCCAACCCACAACACAGAAAATACATTCCACAATGATTGGCAAAAAGAAAGATGTGTGTGAAGTCTGCAAGGGCGAGCATTACGTGCTGTTCTGTGACACGTTCAACGCATGGACTGTCACCCAAAGAAAACAATTCGTCATAGAAAAAAGACTTTGCGCCGTGTGCATGAAAAAACATGAAGTTAACCAGTGTAAATCCAAGTTTCGTTGCAAAAAATGCAATGGTCTTCACAGCACAAAACTACACGAAGATGTCGCAACAACAAGCCAACGCGTAAGCGCTGTGAATGATCTGTCGATGCCCAATCAAAAACTATTGGCAACAGCCATTGTGAAAGTGCAAGACAAATTCGGAATTTATCATTTATTCCGCGCGTTGATCGATCAAGGGTCACAGGGAATTGTTGTGTCCGAAAAAGCTGTTCAAGTACTGAGTCTTCCTCGAAAAAAAACAAATGTGCCATTGCTCGGAATTGATGATAAGCCACTCGGAAAAGCGACAAAATCAATACGAATTCAAGTGCAATCTGCGGTAAATAGTGACTTCGTCATATCAATGGAAGCACTGATAATGCGCTCGATCATGTCAGTCGGCCCACAATTTGAAAAGCACAACGAATGGAAACATTTGAACGGTTTACAACTAGCAGATCCTGAATTTATGCAGGCAAATGCAGTTGACATTCTGTTTGGTGTGGACATTTACGGCATTATTGTTGAAAATGGTTTGAAAAAGGGCAAATTGCATGAACCAGTAGCACAAAATTCGTCGTTTGGCTGGCTTGTATTCGGTGCTGCATGCAAAGCAAAAGAATACAGCGTTCGCATTCATACAACTCGCTTGGCAAACACAAACAACAACGACGAAAATGAAGATTTAAATGTGGCATTGAAACGCTTCTGGGAGAGTGAAGAAGTGAATTTGAAGCCAATCATGACTGAGGAACATGAGAAATGTGTAACATTGTGCAAAGAAACGACGGTTCGATTGCCAAGCGGCCAAATCCAAGTATCTCTGCCATTTAACATGGATCGAAATGATGAGAATCTTCTCGGCGACTCCCGAAAAATGGCATTACGTAGATTTTTTAACTTGGAAAGAAAATTTGAAAAAGATCCAACTTACTACGAACGATATAAGGCCGATATGTTGAACTATCTTGCATGCAATCACATGAGCTTAAGCAGATCGCCACATAATGTTGGTTACTACGTACCACATCACGCCGTAACTCGAGAAGAAAGCACCACAACGAAACAGCGTACTGTCTACGACGCTTCAGCGAAAACTTCAAACGGGTTTTCCTTAAACGATCGTTGTCTGAATGGCCCGACCATACAGCCAGAACTTTTCAATACGTTCATTCGTTGGCGTACAAATGAAATTGCCTTGGTTGCCGACGTGGAAAAAATGTATCGTCAAGTCTCGCTCGCCCCGGAAGATCGAAAATACCAAAAGATTCTTTGGAGATTTTCGAAAGAAGAACCAATCCAAACCTATGAAATAAACTGCGTAATGTTTGGTAGCAAATCCGCTCCGTTCTTGGCAATCAATGCAACCTTTTATCTCGCTGATTGTGAAAAAGATAATTTTCCAAGAGCCGCTGAATGTGTAAAAACGTGTTTGTATGTCGATGATTGTATGAGCGGCAGTCACTCAGTCAAATCAGCAATTGAATTACAACGTGAATTAAATGGGTTGTTCAAATCCGGCCACATGCACCTTCGCAAATGGGCATCAAACAATGAATCAGCGCTAGAAGGCATTCCAGCTGAAGACCGAGCAATCAGCTCATCATTAACACTGAAAACAAGCGAAACCGTTAAAACGCTTGGCATGAAATGGACACCTGCATCTGACTTATTGAACTTCACAATCGATATGTCACGTTTGTCATCTGATCCCCGAGTTACAAAGCGAAAATTGGTATCAGATGCTTCAAAACTCTACGATCCGTGCGGATTGTTAGCTCCACTTACAATCAAGGCAAAAATTTTGATGCAACAAACCTTCAAAGAAAAGATTGCTTGGGACGATCTTGTGAGTGCTGCAATTCAAGCTGAATGGAATCAATATAAAGAAGAATTGCCCTTGATCAAACAGCTAAAAATCGATCGTTGGTTTAAAATTGAACAAAATTCTCAAGTGAAAATTCATGGGTTTTGTGACGCTTCAAATGATGCATTTGCTGCGAATGTTTACGTTGTGCAAACTTCCAACGATAAAACAACATCGTCTCTCGTATGTGCAAAAACAAGAGTCGCTCCAATCGAGCCGGTATGCACTCCTCGTCTGGAACTGTGTGGGGCAGTTTTGCTTGCAAATCTAATGTCACGAATTCAAGAAAATTTGCAGATACAAAAAGAACATGTGCATTTATGGACAGATTCGTCAGCGGTTTGGCATTGGATTCAGAATCATCCATCCCGCTTCCAAGTTTACGTTGCACATCGCGTTCATGAAATCCAAAAACTGTTTCCCGCAAACCATTGGAAACATGTGCGTACTCACGAGAATCCCGCTGATCTCGCCTCGCGCGGTGTTTCTGCACGCCAATTATTGAACAATTCGCTATGGTTTTCAGGCCCAAATTGGCTCACTTTGGATGAAACTCAGTGGCCAAAAATCAATTTGTCATTGCCATCAGAGATAAATTTGGAAGAAAAACGCACTCGAATCAATGTTGCTACTGTTACATCAAGTCCGTGCGAAATGAACTTCTTGCTACGATTCTCAAGCCTTCTTCGGTTGCTTCGCGTCACTACACGCCTGTTTCGATGTGCAAGACGTCACAGAAAGGAAGATGTTTCATCTTTGCCCGAATATGTAACGCCTGATGAATTAAATGAAGCCAAACTCGAGTGGGTTAAATACATTCAAGCATTGCACTTTGGCAAGGAAATTCACGATTTACGAAAAAATGGAATCGTCGATGAAAAGAGTTCACTACGTTCACTTAATCCACAACTTGACGAAAGCGGAATATTGATTGTCAACGGTCGATTACGGTATGCTCAGCTACCGGAAAGACAAAGACACCCAATGATTTTGCCGGCGAATAGTCATTTTACGCGGTTAGTGATCAATCGAGCTCATGCAACAACATTGCACGGCACTATTCATCTAACATTGGCCCGAGCTCGCCAAGAATTTTGGATTTTGAACGGTCGAAATCTTGTAAAATCGTTTGTCCACAAATGCGTTGTATGTTTTCGACAAAAACCCAGAGCCATGAATCAATTAATGGCACCATTGCCAGCTATCAAAACAGCTCCGTCTCGCGCATTCTTACATTGTGGGCTCGATTTCGCTGGGCCAATTCAAATAAAGAGCTCAAATAAACGCAATGCAATAACCGAAAAAGGTTACATTTGTGTCTTCGTTTGCATGGCTTCAAAGGCAGCCCATTTGGAGCTTGTCGGAGATTTAAGCACACAAAAATTCATCTTAGCCATTCGTCGAATGATGGCTCGCCGTGGAATGATTTCTGAGGTTTATTGCGATAGAGGCACGAATTTTCAAGGCGCAAACAATGAGTTGCCTCGTCTCTTTTTGGACGCCAAGGCCACAACATCAAAAGATATCGCTCAACTATTCGCTTCTGACGGCATTCGATTTCATTTTAATCCTCCAAGCGCACCGAACTGGGGTGGACAATGGGAATCGTTTGTCAAGCTAACTAAGCATCATTTACGCCGAATGACGACCGCTACTAATTTAACCTTTGAAGAAATGACGACGCTTCTAACTCAAATTGAAGCCTGTCTAAACTCACGGCCTCTGAGTGCTATAACGACAGACATAAATGATTTGGAACCTCTCACGCCCGGTCATTTGTTAATTGGCGCTCCTCTCAATTTAATTCCGGAGCCGAGCCTACTATCGTTGAAAGATAATGCACTCGACCGGTTTCAAGCCATACAAAAGGGGTTACAAACCTTTTGGAAGCGATTTTATGAAGAATACCTGCACACCCAACACCCCAGAAAGAAATGGTACAAGCCAAATGAAGATGTCAACTGTGGCGACCTCGTGATCATCATCGAAGATAACCTACCACCAGCGAAATGGATGATGGCGCGGATCATCGAGCTACACACTGGCGCGGACGGCTACGTGAGAATGGCAACGGTAAGGACTCAGCACTCAACTTTTCAGCGTCCAATTGTCAAACTTTGTAAATTACCAATCACTTAAATTGTAAAGTAGTTACATTTAGCACCAATAAAGGGGATCTGTTTTCTCCACACTGTGCAGGGACATTTTAACTTTAAGACTAGATTTCCAAAATATTATTTAGGTGTGTTCTCCCGGGAATATGTTCCAGATGGAACAACAAAATGTATTATTATTATTATTTTTGTAT